AAAATGGGTTGATTTGCAAATTCGTAGAAAACGGGATCAAATCATGCACAACAAGGAAGATTGAAACAAAATAAGTAAGTAGATGTGAATATGAATTCAATTCTGATTTTCTACAAAAGATTATTCAATTACAACTTCTATTTATATTTATAATTTTTATTTTGTTAGAAATTTGACTTCAAATCAGATGAAGTTAATAATGATGAGACTGTGTTATTTTAAGTTAAACAAGTTCAATTCGATCAAAACTCGTTATTTTAGTTGAGTAGTATGTGTTATTTTGAACATATTTATTTCAACTGAAACAATTATTGTTTTCTAATATTGTGTCATTTTAAGTTAAACTTGTGTTATTTTGAATTAAATCTATTTTTTTGTCTTGGTGTTATTATGTTAAAGTAATGTGTTATTTTACAATAAACATTGGAGTTATTGTGATAAAACCTTGCATTATGCTACAAAAATTTTGTTATTTTTCTACTTTCGAACCGTGTCTGTTGCTAATTTTGTTTTTTACGCAAAATTGTTTTATATTTTTATTATATCTTTTTGTTTAGATATTGTGTTATTTTAAAATATAAATTTATGTTATTCTTTCAATAATATAATATTATTCAGCTTAAAAATTGTGTTTTTAAAAAAAAAAAAAATATTAATCTCTTTGTTTATCTTATTTAGGCAAGCCCAGTTTCTGAAACCTAGTACCGGGCACATATATCGAGACCCTATAAAAAGGAGATGTTCCCTCTGAGGAACATTATTCAGAAATCAAAAAACACACGCGTACATTACTCGCTGAGCATTAACTCCAGTTTTAATTGCGCTACTTGAGAGCTAAGGCTTAGATATTAAGACCGTCTCAAGCAGTAGGATGATCACTCCCCTTCCGAGAGGAGCTCGATCCCCTTTACTTTCCGCACTTTACTCCTCATACACGTTCTAACTTGATCGTCGGAGGCAGAACTCCCACCCACAGGAGTCTCCGTTGTCTTGCAGGTACAAGCATCCAGAGGTCAGTCTTGGTGTTGTAGCTCTCCCGCAAGACATCCAAAAAACCTCGAAACATTGATAATTGGTATATAACGTTGTTTATGAACAGATATCATGGACGGACAAGATAGGATACCCAGACCTGTTGACCCTTCTGTCTTGACACTACAGGACAAACATCGGAGCGTTGACATATGGGATCAGTCGGTAATATTTCATCCATCAGTTCATGTACTTGTATGCATGTTAAATTGATATAGTATCTAATATTATTTATGGTCGTACGATTATTTATCAGGTTCATACAGCGAGGATGCTGGTTTGCAGGCACTACACTACCAGGGTTATGGGTGACTGGGTTGTCGATCCACGCGTTATTCCGTACGTCAAGTTGGCTGGCTTGGGTGGTATTCATCGGATGGCGTTCAAAGAGATCGATCGAGCGCTTGTCACTGCGCTCGCGGAGAGATGGAGATAGGAGACGCACTCCTTCCATCTACGTGTTGGGGAGGCGATTGTTACGTTGCGAGACGTGGTGATACTCACGCGCCTTCCTATACACAGGACTGCGGTGACAGGACTCGCGTTAGTCGATCCTGGTGGTTTGGTAGCTCGGGTTCTCGGGGTTCAGCCAGGTCTCGACAATATCAGGGGCTCCGGGTTGAGGACCGGCTGGATACGCAAGACTTTCCGTGTGCTGCTAGCAGATATTGATGATGCCACGGTTCAAAGACACGCTCGAGCATACTTGTTCTTGCTCATCTCGGGCGTGTTGTTTGACAACAAGAGCGGGAGCCATCTGCAGCTTATTTACCTACAACTGTTAGACCACGACTGGGATCATATCCGTGGCTACAGCTAGGGTAGTGCCTGTTTGGCGACGTTTTATCGCCAGCTGTGTAGAGCATCCCACCGTGGTTCTGGTGAGATCGGAAGTCCTTTGATTGTGCTTTAGGTATCCCACCAAATTATCGACAACCTAGTTTTGTATTTTTGTATTACAGTTATGGGCTTGGCTGTACATCGTCAGGGGTAGCAGGACCGGGACCAGCAGTACCAGACGTACGTTGCTCCACCGTTCCCTACACCTGACGAGGCGTACGGTTGCAGGTTTGTAACAGTTGTCATTATTTTAGACCTCATACGGTTTTATTTTGCTGGTTGACAAACTAAAACATTTTTTGGTATTAGGTGGGTGGTCCCCAAACTAACACATGCGCATACGGCGAGGGGTCTTCCGTACTACCGAGACACCCTTGACCGACTCACCGAGGATCAGGAGGTAACTTAAAAGTAATTTGTAAACATTTATTTAATATGTATACTGTCTGTGTACTAACTTATTTACGATATTACTTTTGATGTGTTATTGCAGATGACATGGGATTCGTATGTAGCTGACTTAGTAGATGTCATGCCTGTACATGTGCTGGATCATCAGGCAGAGTGGCGTGCCAGGACCCCTTGATCTGTTTTGAGGTTGTTGAGAGTCACCTACCCGACCGAGTCATGCGACAATTTGGACTACGCCAGCCTGTCCCCCAACAGTGTGACACTAGTATCCGCCTGCACGACATTGACCGTCGGGGAAAGGGGGAGACAAACTGGTCACTGGAGCATGTGCGTTACATTGACCTATGGCAACGACGGTTGGAGTTCGTCGTCGCCGGTGATCCGTTCTAGGGCGTTATGGATCCTCACGATCCATACATGGTCTGGTACAGGCAGATTACACGGCGTTTCATCAACCCCAGCTTCACGCCACCATCCACACATTACCATCCAGCCTTTGACGTCATTAGCGGATATGTGAGTTTATTTAATTTACGTATTTTTATCAATTTTTAAATTTCTATATCATACAACTGACCGATCGATGATTACTGCAGGCGGTGGATATGGTGGCGGTGGTTGATGCACTATCAGAATCCCTAGCAGACGGACCCACCAGACACTACTAGAAATAGGTCGTTTTCCGAGGGAATCGTTCCGACGGACCTAAATTCCGTCGGAAAATTCGAAATTTCCGACGGAATTAGGGTCTGTCGGAAAATTCTGTCCGAAAAGGTACGTAACGACGGAAAATCCGTCGGAATTTTTGCGACGGAAATTAATTCCCTCGGAACAATAGGCTTCCGACGGAATATTCCGTTAGAAAGTTAACTTTCCTACGGAATTTAAATCCGTCGGAATTTTCCTACGGAATATTCCCTCGGAAAACCCAAATATTTCGACGGATTTTTAATCCGTCGGAACGTTCTAATATATATAAAAAAAAACCGACTTTTCTTTTCTTTCTCTCTCTTCTCCTTCTCTGCTTTTCCTCCTTCCCCTTCCCCTTCGTTGCTCTCTCCTCCTTCCCCTTCCCCTTTCCTCCTTCTCCTTTGTTTCTCTCTTCTCCTTCTCCTTCCCCTTCCCCTTCCCCTTCGTTTCTCTCTCCTCCTTCCCCTTCCCCTTTCCTCCTTCCCCTTCGTTTTTCAAAGCCACGAACCACTGCTGCTGCGCAACCACGAACCACCACCGCCTTCTAATGGTTTTTCAAAGAACAAATTAAGGTTTTTCATGTCAAATTCGACCATAAAAACCCTAGATCTAGAGTTTTCATGGTCGAATTTGACCTTTAAAACCCAAATTAGGGGTTTTAATGGAATTCAAGGTAAGTTCTCTTATTCTCTTTCTCTTTTTTTTTTCGGCTTTTTTACTTTTTTTCTGATTTTTCGTGTTTTAGTTTTGTTTTTTCGGCTTTTTTTCGTTTTTTTTTTCTTCTGATTTTTTGTGAATTTTCTAATTCAAGCCTTTTTTTGTTTTTTTTTTTTCTGATTTTTTTTCTGATTTTTAATTTTTTCTATTAAATTTTCCGACGGATTTGACTTCCGTCGGAAATTTCCAACGGACTTTCCAGTACCGGAAAAACCTCTTCTGACGAAAACATTCCTTCGGAAAACACTGTTCCGACGGAAATGGCCGTTTTTCCTACAAAGGGTGTTCCGACAACACTTTCCGACGGAATTTCTGTCGGAACAGTGTTTTCTGACGGTATTCAGGGTGTTTCCGACGGAATTTTTCCGTCGGAAATGACCTGTTTTCTAGTAGTGAGAGCCCAGGTCGAGCAGGTGCGAGATATGAGCGTGGCTACCTTGTAGAGATATGGTCACGGTTATCTCGTCCAACCGCGGGACGGTCATGGAGGCCACTCCATCCATTCACAGTTCGAGTTCGGCCAGAGTAGCAGTGGAGGTGATCTTACGTCACCCAGAGTCGCAAAAGATTACATCCTCTACAGTTCTGCGCCCACCCCTACCCCGGAGGACCCATCGTCCAGCCAGCAGACTCCGTCACCGCCCCCAGACCCATAACCACCATTACTCATTACAAGTGGCGTCGTATTAGACGGAGGGACGACGGATAGGATAGAGAATCGTTACCCCGAATAAATGAGCAAGATAGTATTATCTGATTTATTTGTTGTGATCGGATTTTCTAGTTTGATTTATATAACACTTACATTATTAATATAATAAATGTTTTTTGAATGAATCTATGTGGTTTAAAGTTTAATTTCCTTATTTGTCGAAATCGGACTTATGTATGTCAAAATAGATCATTCTAGGTCGATATATATCAAACACAAAACATTTGGGCTCCATAATGAGAAACGGGGTAGAAGCGATGGCTGGTCGTGGTTAATGTGGTGGTTCATGGTGGTTGTAGTGCTGTTGGGGGTGGTTGGAGTGGTTTGAAGTGCCTAAGGGTGGAGGTGGTGGTTGGTGGTGGTCGATGGTGGTGGGGAGGTTGGGATTGGTGGTGGGGGTGGTGTTGGAGGGTGGTGGCTGAATGAAGGCTGGGGGTGGTGGGTTGGGGGCTGAATTTGGAGTGAGGAGGTTGTTGCCTGCTGCAGTCCTGCAAGCTTAATTTGATAAATAATTTGACCACTAGTCTAGTTTAAAAAATAGTTTTGTAATTTAGCTTACTTTGGAAAAAAAAGCCCATATATTCTCCATGCTTTGGTTTGGCGCCAGAAGCATAATTAGCAGTTAAGGACCAGTCTTCAATACTACTTCCTAGTTCCTACACAATGAACTTCTCACAAACCCTAGCTCGAACTTCACTCTTATCTTCTCATTTCTCCATTCCATCTCTTCCTTTTCGCCATGGTAATTCTCTTTCTCTTTCTCTATTTCTATTTCTGCATTTTTTCTCATTAATCCCTAATTTTAGTTAATTTTTGTTTCAATTTTTAGGGTTCCAGCAAAATTGCCGAAGAATTCGATGCATTCCAGAGCTATCAATCCCAAATTCTGTTGCAATTTCCGAACCATTAATCCTCGAACCATCAGAAAATCTGGCGGAAGATACTGTTGAGCAATTACTTGCTCCTCAAAGCAACGAAATCGTCTCAAAAATGATGAAAATGGAGAGAAAATCGAGCTGTAATGCAAATTTGCAGGATAATAATGGCCGATGGTTTCCATACCTTGATAAATTTAAGGTTAATGATATTTACTTGAGTAGTGCTGAAGTATTGGAGGCGATTGATCCTCTGATATTGGAAGTGAGGAAAGAGAGGTTTAGGAATGTGGTGAAGAATCGGAGTTTCAGTGTTTGTCTTGTTGTTGAAGGATTGTCTGATTTCGGAAATGTTTCGGCTGCATGCCGGTCTGCTGATGCTCTCGGCTTTCAATCTGTTCATGTTGTTTCTTGCGATAGCTCGAAAAGGTGGTGGATCAACACTTTTTGAGGTGAAAGAGTTTTTCTTTCTTTTGCCTCTTGTTTTTGTTTTACTACATTTGCTTTAATTTTATGTTCTTTTGCTGTTTTTGTGGTCTGAAATTTTCAATTTGAACCTGTGTATAATGAAAATTTTGATTAATCTATAGATTTTTGCTGCTATTATAGTATACATAATAATAATAGCTTGTTCGGTTTTCCGGGGTAAAATTTGGGGAGGTGCAAAACCCATATATTGCAATAAGAAGTAATGACAATTAACATGTGATAATTGGTCCCAATTTTATTTGAATGTTATTAGAAAGTATGGAATTGATTGCAAGAAGCTAATTCTCGGTTTAGTAGAATTGATTTGTATGGATACCTCACAAAAGTAATCCACATCCTTACTAGATTGATAAATGCGGATTCGAACTGAGACAGAACCCAGTTGGAGGGAAGCTTTCCTAACAAGTGTTGATGCATTCCCAACCTTGGGTTGTGCTGATATGAATCCTTACCAAGTTACCATCTAAGGCTTTGAGTCTTCGAAGCACATGTTGGTAGACCAATTAGATGGATAAGAGATCTCATAAAACTTTCTTATCATTCAACGATGAAAAGTATGGAATCGTCAGATTTTATTACATCAGGAAAAAATTAAATTTATAAATAACTATTCTCGTAATAATCTTTGTTATTAGGATGTTAATCGAATGTGAGTTGCTATTCTAGAGTGAATAGGACATGGCTTTGATATGAAATGACATGGCAAGTCTGTGTATCAAATACTAATAACTGGTTGTTACTTTCTGTAATTTTAATGTTTCATTATTTTGCTTACTAGACTGAAATTGTTAATTACGGTTTCTGATTGTGAACACAGGTTTAGAGATAATCGACATGTCAGCATGGGTTCTGAAAAGTGGCTAGATTTAGAGGTCTGGAACTCTACTCGAGATTGCTTTAATGTTCTGAAGTCACGTGGTTACAGAATAGCCACTACACATCTCGGAAAAGATACAGTAATAATCAGACTTCTTGAAATTTTATTTTAGCTCTTAATTTACAGGAACTCCTCTGTGCTTCTCAGTCATCTTTCTGTTGCATATTGTGGATTACTCTTTGATTTAGTAGTGCTTTATGTAAAATCCTCGATTACAATCAGGTTTCTATATATGACATGGATTGGTCATGCCCAACTGCCATTGTTGTTGGGAACGAGAACAGGTAATTGTTGTTCTTCAGCTTTGTATAGTTAATTTAATTTTGTTATATTCATTTCTTCCAATGTTTCAAATTATGCCTATTTATTACCGATTAAGCATGATAACATTATTTTCTCCCACAGTCCCACCTGTTATTTTATGTCTGTGAATTACTATTACACTGTGAAAAGAATTGTGAGGCATATTCATGTCACTTTCTGTTTGTTAAAGTCTTTTTATAGTGTAATTGAGGGTATTTCTTTTCAAAGCCGAAAGATTTATGTCTTAAAATCCAATAGGATATTCAACACCCTTAGAATTGGAATATTACTTGAAAATATAGGGAAAGAAGAGTACATAGATGCTTCACTTGCTCCTGTCTTTACTGATCTTCATTATTATCCTCAAAATTTAATTTGGTGGTTACTTAATTCCTTCTCTCCCTCAACAAAATTGTTATAGCCCATTTGATCAAGTGGTGATGTTACTTTGGCATTGCAGTTCTCATCTAAATTCCCCTTATTAGAGTTTAAATGTATATATTTGAGCTTTCTGAAGTTGAACTTCTATTCAAAGAAAAAAAAAAAGAGTTAGTTGAACTTATTTATAGTTGCAAAATAGACCTGGTGGCCCTTATCTGAACCTATTGCTCTGTCCGAGCTGTTTTTTCCTTAAACTTCTTTGAGGTTAAAAAACAAAGCTTTTAATACCCTCAAGGCAAATGGGATCAAAGCCTAGCTCTTGAGTATGTAGTATGTACTGTAAAGTTGTAGAGTTTAAAGTGTGTGGCCTTCATATGGTAGAATTTCCAATAATTGGGTATCCCTTGCAGACTTCCGGTTGCATGTCTCATGGATTTTCACATCTTAAAACTGTTTCCCTAAAATTTAGGCTTGTGCTTTATAGTTAATTTACTTATTATAATCATAATAATAAGTAATATCCATTGTGTGTGTACAATAATATGAAAACTGTTAATTGATGTAAGGGCTGCAATTGATCATACATCTGATGTTCGTATCAGCTTGCAACTCTAGACTCTAGAGCTTCCTAATTTATGCTCTGAATCTATGATAAATTATCTTGATTTTTCTTAGTTTACTGTATTTATCTTTCGTTCTTGTGTCAGAGGGGGAAAAAGAAATTAAATGCTGGCTTAAAAATGATTTGGTTATGTGGAAGAGAGCATCCACTTCATCACTTGGCATTTGTGAATGGCTTGGGGGATGATTATGGAAAAAAGTATGCTGATAATATATGCATTTTTACAGGGGAATTAGTGAAGAAGCTTTAGAGTTTTCAGACTTGCACTGCAGTATTCCTATGAACGGCATGGTTGATTCTTTTAATGTTTCTGTTGCTGCTGGGATACTGATGCATCATGCTGTTTTTGACAGAACATCACGCATGGTGAGATGACACAGCTTCAATTTTTAAATAGGTCTGCATATAAGTTTTTCTAAAGTTAAGTGTGAAGCCTGTAATCACCTCTGCTTTTTAATGGCTGCTTTCATTGCACAGCTCAATTCAAAAGAATTTCATGTTCTAGTTGCCCCTGTTTACTTTTGCATTTAGACACAAAAATTTGAGAAGATATAAGGCTAATATGCTGAAAGAAGTCCTGATATATTAACTGTTATGTGTAGTCTAGTTTTCTTTTTCTTTTTTTTCCCCCCTTTTTTACCTATTTATCCTCTTCTCAATATTTTAAGTCTGCTTAATCCTTGCAAGCTTTGTTTGAAGGTGCTTGACATCAATCATGTTGTCGTTGTGACTTTAGTTGCTACACTAGAGGATTTCACAGTCAAATGGTGTTGCTAACCCATGCAGAATTTCTGAGACTTAGTATGAAAATAAAAATTAAGGTCTCATTTTATCCCGACATTTTGTTGCTACTGTGTTACTGAATGTGGTAGTTGCTTTTTTATATCCTAACATGTCAGACAAACGTGTCTTTCAAGAGATATATTTGATGACAGTGCTCAAAGCTTTATATCTGATTATAGAAAAATTATCCGCATTCAATTGGTTCTTCTGTTTATATATTTGCTGAGATTATATTACATTTGCAGGGGTCTCATGGTGATCTAACATCGGATGAAAGTCAAATCTTACTAGCAGAGTTTTTTCTGCGTCACAGCAAGAGTGCGATCAGCATGGCCCACGAGTACGCAAAAAGGAAGTCATCCAATGCGCTGTCAAAGCTTTGATGCATTACTATGCTATCAAAACCTCACCCTGTCCATCCAGTTTATGTAGTTTTGAAATTTGCAGGACTTCATAGTCAAAAGGTATATGTTTTCACAGTTAACGTGTAAAGTACTCTGCAGCTCTGTTAGATTAATGGGAGTTGCATGAGCTTTTGCAAAATTTACAAGTAGTGAAAGCTTTGACGATTAGTGTTCCTTCATTACCAGAAGACTAGATAGCAATTCTGTTTTGTGTTTTCACCTTAACTCATCTTTTTAATTTATACATGAAAATTAAAATTAAACATAACAAATAATGTACTTGAATAGACAAAATTAAACAAAGAAATTTGATAATTGCATCCTACATGGCTACAAATGTTGGTAATGGCTGAAATAAAAATTAAGATGGAAGTATTATACTCAAATCGGGTTAAGTATGATTAATCTAGACTCTGGATTGGGTTTGTGCTGGGCTAAGTTAGGTTTGGGTTATGTTGGCTCAGCACTCTTGGGTGCTAGTTTAGTTCGGCTTAAGTCAAATTGAGGTTTTGTTCAATATTAGGTTTGGGTTGTGCATGTCGTAGTTTGGTGCAGAATTATTGCAGGTAAATAAGAGACAATATTAGTTGAATGTATCAATTTTATGGATCATGATTGAAACCTATACTAATAAAACAACTTTTATTTATTTATTTATTTACAGGCTTAAATGAAGTTTAGTAAAACTTGGGAAAAGAAAAAAGAGTAGAAACAACTATTGATGCTAAATTGAGACAAGCAAGAGCTTCGCTATGTTTTCTAATCCTTCTAAAGTCTATCCCATTCCAACTCTCAACAATCCATCTATTAATAGAATTGTAGATTTTACTTGTGTTCCATGATTGTAGAGGATGATTATTGTGAAAAACCCTTCTACCATCCTTGATGATGGCGTGAACTGAATTAACATAGGACATCTTGTTGTAAACAAATTAAACTCAAGATTAATTTTAGTTGTTTCGGACTGGATAAAAATAGGTGAAATTAACGTCTTGTTTCAGGTTAAATTCATACTTTTCCCATTTTATTTTTTTAGATGTATCATTTGCAAAAATACAAACTTCTAGACAGTTTTTGGCAAATGGCTTGTGTCGTGTCATTGTCGTGTTCGTGTTCGAAGTTAGACATGTTCGAGGACCTCAAAACTAATCGACCTGTTTAATAAAAGTGTCTTGTCGTATGAACCCATTTAATTAACCGTGTCTAAAACCCTTGACACTAACCCGTTTTTTTCATGTCCGGTTCGTGTTGTGTTGTCATGTCATGAGTAAAAATGTTAGCCTCATACAAAAAATTATCATAAATTCCATAAATTATTGGTTATTTTTCTTAAATGGGTTGATTTGTGTTAGTTTCATGTTGGAATTTTCAACGCTAACCCGACCTATTTAATTAAACGTGTCGTGTCGTGTTAACTTGTTTAATTAAACATGTCATAAACCCTTAACATTCGATTTTTTCGTGTTGTGTCATCTCTTAACCTCCTTTAATTTGTAATTGCATTAAAATTAAATGAATTGGAGCATAAAAGTCGTACGAGTAGAGTTTCCAAACCATAAGATAATTCTTTCACTCAAAGTGCATATAGTTAATGCAACCAATCATGCCTGGAAAACCATGCATTTTATTTTGGTGGTGAAGAATTCTCCTTAAATCTTCTTATGTATTTACCCCTTGAGTAAAATGTTGCAATGACTTCCTAGAGGTTGTTTGACCTACGTGTGTATATTCTAATATTCATTTATGTCATTTAGAGCTAAACCATATGCTAGCATTAGCGGTACATTTCTGTAGTGGTGATAAGCTTAGCCTTCAATTGCATTCTTACGCTGGTTGAAGAATTGATCCCCCTCAACCACCTTGTTTTGTTCATAATGCGACATAACAAAGGTCTGTGCATTTGAAATCTACGGCGAAATTGATTATCGTTATATACTGCATTGACTGCGAAGTAATCATTACACAATTGCACATGCCCTTTCTCCCTTTCTCTACCCGGGGGCTCTGAGACACATTCGATTTCATTTAGAGGTTTGGCTTGTGGTGAACTGTTTGGGGAATCATTATATTCGATAAGTAGTATGTGACGAAATCATCAACTAGGTGTTCAAATTCCTAATATTGATTTGATCAGAATAAGAACTTGAGTTTGAGCTTGAGCTTATGGTAAACATTTTATTTGTTTGATATTTGAATGTTTTACGTGTGGTTCTTGAAGTTTGGGTGAAAAATCTAAATATAGTAATGAAACTCAATGTATGGTTATAGTTATGAATTGACTCTTCAATGGATAATAAAACAAACAACTGAAGGGATATGACTACTGTTTTAACATATGATTTTTCAAAAACAAATCATAAAAAGTAATCCGTGGTTTATACACACGGGTGTACAGTGCTCATCGTACACCCGGATAAATAAAAAAAAGGCGGAAAGAACATTTTGTGTTTCATAAAGAACATACATGTATTTGACAAAGAACATGTTTGTATTTGACAAAAACATGCATTACCAAAGAACATAAAGATATAATAAAAAGAACGAGATAAAAACTTGATAAAATTTTCTGAAAAATTACATATTATTAACGGGAAAAATTTAGAGGTGATAAAAAATCGAGTAGGGCCGGGCCATATCATAATTTCTTGTGCCCAAACCCGTAGAAAAGTAGCGGGTTTTCGGGCTTTTTTCGAACCCGGTTTGAGTTTTAACTAAAAATGTATTTTTAGGTTTGCCCAAACCCACCCTATTTCGGGCCGGATTGGGTCGGGATGCGAGTCATGCCAATGTTGATCACCTCTTAAAAAATCCTTACCAAAGATATCATTTCCCCAAAAAATAGTTTTCTAAATCTCCAAAAAAAATTCAACTTCCCATAATAATTTAGTTTTTTTTTTTACTCTAACATTATTTTCAATTAAAAATAATTTAAGATTTCAATATCAAATTTCAAAATACCATATGTTAAAAGAACATAATTTATATTGTAAAGTACATATAGTTAATACCTAAATAACACACTAATCAAACTCAAAGAATATACGATAATAAAAGTAATTTAAATATGACATATGATAATAAAAAATAGAATTTGGGAGTCACTACGACCTTAAAGAACATACACGCCAAATTCAAAGAACATACTTTGTATTATTAAACCCAAAAAAAATATATGTTTATCAACATATGTTAAATAACATAAGTTATAATATAAAGAACATATAATTTTACTTAAAGAACACACTGATCACACTCAAAAAACATATTAAAGGTATGTTCTTTGTCAAACATAGGTATGTTCTTTATCAAACACTATATGTTCTTTCCGCCTTTTTTTGTTTACCCGAGTGCACCATTAGCATGGTGCACCCGGGTGTATTATCTAATTTTCAATAAAAAGGGACATGGTCACTTATTTAAGATGACTCATTAATGCATAATAAAACAAAAAAGAAATAAAAAGCGACACGACTACTTATTTAAGTTATCATTTTCAATGCATAATAAAACAAATAACTGAAAAGGAACATGATCACTTATTTAAGATATGATTCATCAATGCATAATAAAACAAACAAAGGCTATTAACTACTTATTCAAATATGACAGTTCAGTTTAGGCTGGTCCCCACTATTAACTACTTATTCAAATATGACAGTTCAGTTTAGGCTGGTCCCCACCTTTGTTGCCTTCATTTCACCCAAGCCATGAGGACAAATAGATTTCCTTATGAGGAAAATCTTCATTTGCCCATTGACATAGTATTGTATTTTTTTTTACTTATTATTTTTTTTTTTCCTCATGGACATTTTCTAACCCATTGGTTAGCATGCTCTCAGGAAAACTGGTCAATATCGGATCTGAGTCATTGTCAATTTAACCAATAAGCCTATTTCTCAAGTTGGGTTAGTTTTTGGGTTGGAGAAAGTGAGACTGAACCTTTGGCACAACCAAGTTTTTTTTTTTTGACATTTTTTTCACAGTTTTTCTCACTGATGCCTTTACAGATTATATTAAACAGCTAGGCTCAATCCATTTGAGAGCTATGTGAGCTCTGATATTGAAAATGCAAGAAAGAGATAACCATCTACAATCGAGCCCGTCAAATCTTCAATTTAAAAATATGAATAAAAATAAGAGTTCAGAAAAGCATTAAGACATCGTGCATAACCAATAAACAAGGCTACCTAAGAATGAAAAATTCGCTTCATACATATTTACATTGTCATCATTGATCAAACTACATTTCTTTCAAGTATATCATTTTTTTCTAGGATTTGACAGCTGAAAATGATCCTACTGATACCTTTACAAGCGCCAAAAAGACACCTTAAGAAATGGCTTTAAATCTAATATCTTTCAAGCTTAACTTATCAAGCTTTGGTGTACCTTAAATTTTATTAGCTAGTCAAATCAACTGCATATCACTTGTTGGGTTTTGTATCGTTCCCTTGGTGCTTTGCAAGAGTACATCATCATCTCGGTTCCTTGTTGAATGACTCCTGATAAATTCCTCGATTTTTGCCTTAAGCTCAAGATCAGAGATTAACATGTCTGGATTGAGCGGGGAACGGTTGAAAGGATCAGTCTGCAACAAAATACATGAATTCAGAAAGACCTCAATACAGTTAAGCAGTTATGTACAAAACAAAGCTAAAGAATAATTACACTGTCACTCAGTAGATGCCTCAAGATGACCGGACGATCAACAGTAACTCTTGAAGAAGGCAATATGACTGGATCCTTCATCAGCGTGTACTGCATCGAGAAATAGATATCAGCAAAATCAAGTGTAATCACAAGCACTACCTGGTGTCCAATATAAATACATACCATCTAAATTCCTCATAATTAAGGATGTGGCAAATTTAAAGAGAAGTCCAAGTTGTACAATTCCAATTCTTCCTTAAAGTGTTTTTGGATGAAAGAATTTTAAAAGGGGGAGGGGAGAGGGGAGGGGAGGGGAGCGGGGTAAAGTAGAAAATGGGCCCCTTTACTCCAACTTTTATCCCAACACCTTTATCACAGTTAATTTTTCTCAATAGTATATGTGACTATTAATTCAAGACAGCTGGAGGAAATTTCTGCATCACAGGACATCTTCTAACAAACATTACCTGAATTGGGTCCAAGAATTCATCAGGTATATCACCGAGAGCATTCTCGGCATCCAAGGCTTCAACAGCTGCGGCTTTAGCTTTTGCACCAAGTTCAACAAATTCCTGTATGATCCTTCCATCTTCTCCTATTCTTATAAGAACATCAGCTGCAGCACTAAACAACTGGAAAAGAGAGACAGAGAGTGAGCCAATTTATAGATAGACAAGAGAGCACAAGCATCATTTAAAGTAAAAAGGCAAAATAATTCTATTAAGAAGCACCTGTTCATTGTAAGACCGCCCATCCCTGGAAATTGCAGCAGGGAAAACATTTTTCTCATCTCCTCTTGCCAGATTAACATAGATGTTGACAATCTAGACAAAATAAATCAAGCAGGGATCAAGGCCATATAATAAGTGAGAGAAATTGACTAATTCCTCATCCCATTAATAATTAAAAGAAAAAAAAAAATCAACCTTAGTGCTCCTAAATATGATTATTGCACTGGAGCCACACATAGGTACTAATTATGTGAACAGTTATTAAATTTTTTGTAATTGTACTTTCAAAGTTTTATCAACTATACGAGACATGAGAAATAAGGGAGTAATTACTGAATTGCAAATATTAAACAATTTACATACACGTAAAGGACACTGTCCAGGACAAAGTGAGGATTTCCCACAATGGCGAATATAATACTATATACTTGCAACGCAATCCTTAAGATTTATAAGATGTGCTTGTTGTAAGCTTCTCACTGCTTTAGGACACACTGAAAAGTGAAAACCTCATCCTGTACATAGCTAACCTAATCCAGATTGGAAATATAATAATTCCTCTGGGGTTTTTTTTTTTTTTTTTTTTTTTAATTCACCATTTGGACTTTGCCACAATTCCACACACTCCTTTTTGACGGTTTGACCATCTTTTATGTTTTATACGCAATGAAAACAGTAGTCCTGTGGGATCTTGTTATATTCGTCTTGATTTATGCTTCCCAAATATCAAACTTTTGTTAATGATCAAAGTTTTGCATTGGTAAGCTTAAATTTCCAAATGGTACAATTTAAAAAAACAGAGGAAGAAGTATTTAATTGAAGGAGACAGAAAAACAGCTTACCTGTTTAAGCAGATGTTTTGGGCGGAACTCATACTTCTCAGGATCCTTCAAGCTTAAGGATTTCCTTTGGGGACCCACAAGTTGTAGCAAGAAGTAATTAAGCATGCTGGAAACTCTTTCAACCTGGGTGCAAAACGTAATTAATGAACAGGAAATTAAATATTTACTATTTAAAAAGCCGTGGCTTCAAACTATAGAAAGCCATGAACGCAAGATGATGGTAAACTATAAATTATAATAATAAAAAATATATACCATTTCCGGAAGAAGCAAAGGTGATGTAATCTGTTCTGAAGTGAAAGCCAGCAGACTAACATCTTCATTTGCCAATTTCATATCAATTCTAATTATCTGAAGCACCAGACATCTTAATTTGGTTAGGTAGCTGAGATATATACAATTATAAAGGAGAAGGGAAAGGTGGAGAAAAAAAAAATTTAATATAAATGAAACTGACATTCTCTTGGGAATGGAAAAGACGAGTTCTCTCCTGTCTCTCTTGAGCAGGTCTTCGCTCCCATTCCGCGGTATTGGACATCTCAGCTTCCAGTGCTTTAAGTTCAAGGATTTTATTTAGACTTTCGTCAAGAAGGTAGATACTGTCGTTAATCAGGAAGTTTAAGAAATTTAGGTAAACACCCTTTTCTTCCTCCTTCGCAATCTGAAAGAAACATACATTAGTGAAAATGTAAGTAAAGGTGAAAGAGGACAACTGATTCCTTGTATAACTGAGGAACTGTCTCTACCTGTCTCCAAACATTACGATAACTAGGAACCTGCCAAAGGTATTCCAGAAGCTCGGCAATATTGTGACGGATATTAAATTTATCGTAGAACTGTATGCAAACACAAACAAAATGTCTTTGTCAGAGTTTCCTTTACAAAATTGAAGAGTCAGTGTCAATAAAACATTCATACCAGGATTTTTAAGTCAAATTGTTAAGACAATTATGTTGCTATATTTTCTTCTATAGTTTGGTTTTGGGGTTGAGCCGAAACAAGCCCTTACAAGTTTACACAAGGACAGATAACAAGCCCTTACAAGTTTACACACGGACAGATAACCACACCACGTATAGGATATTATACTGTCTCTTATGAAGTTGATAAGGTTTGATGCATACATTCTGTGACACTGATTTTATTAAGATCTTCAGAGGAAGCTGAATTTTTTTTTTTTTGGGGTGGGGTGGGGGGGGGGGGGGGGACAGCTCATAAAGATTGGCTCCTCCATGCCTTTCACCCCCCCCCCCTCTCATTGTTTCCCGTCTCTTTGTGTCTCTATATATCTCTGTGAATGCATGTTCATGTTTGCACGTATGGCACTTAGGCATTCAGATATTTGTGTGCCTTGGTGATGGTGAATATAAGATGGAAGTTAATTCTATAATGTTACAATACCCACACGGATAAAGTTTTTTTGTTTGGACCAAGTGAGGAGATACGCAGAGCAAATTAGCAAAAGAAAAAGGCAGATGCCAGCAAATATTGCAATTTTTTTATAACACAGACTGAAATTAGCAAACAATTACCTGTGTGTGAGAGCCCGTGAATTCAATGTCAACGTACAGCTTTAGAAGATTCTTGACAAGGTATTGCAAAGATAATTGATGCCCTTCAAATAGACTAGCGGTTGCAGAAGAACCACTACAAATGCAGGAGACACAGTATTAAAAATGACAATTAAGAGGAATGTTACGCAACAAAATCAAAACATGCAGGGCTAAAAATCTAGTAAGGCTCAGGTGATATACCTCCTACGAGGCATCCAACCATTTAGCACTTCGACCATTTTTGCTCTTAAATAAGGATTTCTAATATATTCAGGGCTAGCCATAAACATGATGATAAAGTTCATGAAATCGTCCTGGAAACAGACAAACAAGATATAATAGGTCAGAGAAAATAAAGAGAACAAAGGAATCATTAGGAAAATTATTCCACCCACTCCTTACCAATATGACACCATCCAAAGCTTTTGGGATTCGAGATGCAAACATCAGCAACTCCATGGCATCCTCCACAAAATGTTCTGGCATACAAGCAAATTCCATAGGGCAAGGTGATGGCAGGGGCAGGTTGAAACCACCAACTGAGCCAACCAACCAGACCACCATTAACCGGCAAAAAGCTAAAGCACGCTGGATAAGGTCCCCATCCTACAAAGCAAGTAGTCCAGTAAGTATAAAACTGCAAATCAAAATATATAGAACCAGTTTCATACAGATGCTAGTATGCCACCATAATAAAGTAACTGAACACAGAACGGGAACATTAGTCGTAGTTTGGTTGAAGAGCTAGCATTATAAAGGCACAGAAGAAGCAAATATTTCGTAGTGATGCATAAACAACTCCTTGAAGTATCATCAACTTAAACCACTCTACGAGGTACACTGGCAAGGAACAACAGTATACCATTCCTCACTTCAACCATGATGGCAAGGAGGACCACTTATGTGGAGCAGTTATTTCTCTTGTACTCCCCAAAGAAACCAATTTCACTAAAGCTTTATCAATTAAAACCAAGTACCCAATACACTTCCCACTAACAATATGCAGACCTGACAAAGAAAATGAGAGGGAGGCATACCCTAAGTATTTGTGCTTCATAACACAATTTTTCTCGTGTATAGGATTCAATTTCTTCTTCAAGACGATCTATATCTTGCTTCAACTGAGGCGTAGGAGCTTGCTCTTGCATGGCCTTAAGGGTAGCCAGGGAATCTTCTGATCTTGACATATCCTGTAAGAATAGCAAACAATATGAACTCCACAAGAACAGAGAAAATCAATGCAAAGAAAATGTAGGATAATATTAAATCATTTACAGGATAAAGCATTACAAACATATAAAAATCCAAGAGATTAAAATTCAGGCTGCTGAACAATAAATCTATATATATCAGTCACCACCTCTTAAACTCCTACCTGGACTAGATGCTTGAAGTCAGAAAATGCTTTTAATAACCCTAAGTTTAGAACCCTTGCTGTCATAAAGAAGCATTCACAGATGAATGGATATTTAGTCTTATCACCATTCAACATTGATCGTACATTCTGGGCAGGGGGTCCACCAGAATTAATGCCAGAGCCAGTGGCTTCCAAAGATGTCAACAAGCGATTATCTGTAACATTATTGACAGTAGAACCATCAGATCTTCCGACATTAAGCTCAGAGATATATGCAGAGACCTCTTCTGATGAAGCATGCAGTGCTGTAAGTCCTCTGAAAATTGTTAGCACAAAAACTGTAAGAATGATTTCTTAAGAAAAATAACTTTTAATAAAATAAAGGGAGAACTTTGCAAAATGATGGTTCTCACTTTAAGTCCATACGATTACTATAAAATACATAGTTTGGATCAATTTTATCCCGTTTTGAGAGATTAGCATCTAAAAATGGTTCGCAAAGCCTGAGCATAACAGCGCTGAGATTGACAAACATTCCAGAGCTTGCACAAGTCATAGGATCAATCTGTATACAAATTCATAAACAAAACAATCAGAGTAATCCCTCGAGAGAGTTGCGGTTGGAATTCTTGAGGTTCTTAATACACTCTTAAAGGGCAATAGGGCATGCCAGCACACAATGTGCAAAAAAGCAATGAGGAAATACTGCCAAAGTTAGCAAGCATTTGTTGTACTAGCTATCAATTTATCATATATGACAATGCAGCAATGGCAGATTACAAATGACACTTACCTGCAAATGCGCCCTCGAGAAATTGTTATTGATCACGGCTGCTAGAAATTCTAAAACATTTTCTCGAGTATCTGGTTTTTTCAGAAGACAAAGAAGAACCTCATGCAGACCATCATATAAGTTATTCATCACCGTCTTTATGGTAGCGAATGATGATAGTAGATCAGCTGGACGACGAGAGGATGATTGAGAGAAGCACTGCTCACTAGTAAAAACAAAGCAATAACAATTTGTTGATTAGTATAATATTGCAGTAAAGCATCCAAGCAAAACACAAGATTCAGCAATAAATGTAGTCTTATATGATATTTGTGGAAAGCTTTCCTCCATTTTTTCTTAATAATTTGCAACACTTAAATGTCACAACTAGTGAGTAGCACAGGCGTTGCTCCGGGTTACTACTTTTATAGTTGTGCAACTGCCAATTTTTAAGAGCATCTAATGTTTGTATGTAGTATATGTCTTCAATACTTTGTAGTATTGTGCAAGGTTAAAGCATAGTTGACACTTAGCCTACATGGTTGAACAAAATAACCTTTCTTCTAAGAGGTCAAGTGTTCGAACCTTCTCATCCATATATTTTTTTAAATATAGTTGAGACAACATGGAGTATTGTTGGTTGTGTGGATAACGTGGCATATTGAGGAGTTGAGTGGATGACGTGGCATAATAAGGAGTAGCGTAAGTGACGTGGCGATATGAGGGGTCTCGTGGCGTATAGACGTTCTTAGGAACACCTTTTAATATATTAGTACAGATACTTTCAACAATACAATATTTGGTAATTTATGAGTGGAAAATGCCTTTTTTACCCTTAATTCTCCAACCAGCCAATTTTGACTCAAACAAAAGCTGACCCAAAAAAATATAGGATGCGTACAGATTAGCATTTTACAACAGATCTGAATATGACCTGTGTCTAAATAACAAGATTAGAACTGAATATTTACAATAACATTTGTGTCCTGAACCAGAACAAAACATCCAATTGACCAAATTTAGACATTCACTTCTGATTGCCTGATTATGAAATGGGTTAGAGGCCAACTTCAGATATCAAACTTCGTGGAACAAATAGAAAATAAAGAAATAAAACTGAAACTTTCATTTATGTAGGTAGCTTGAGCACATTAATAAGAAGCCTATATTTCAAACTGATGTATTGAAGTCTACAAAGAGGATTAGAGGAGGACACATAAATCTTCTGTTTGTTTATTCATTGTGTTGATTAATTGTTTTAGCATACTTGTAAGTGTAAAATTGATCCTTCACAGTTCAGAGATAAACAAATCATGTAAGAAAGAACATAAGCATGAGGAACCACAACACCACGAGCCAACAAGGGCAAATGCTGTAAATAACTTCGATCAATAACAAACAACGATGAGCTATCCTTCTTAGAGATAAAGCAGACAAACACCTTACCATTCTAACAACATAGTTTGACACAAAGATAAATACTTTTACATCTACCCCCACCACTAACTAATATCACAGTTCTTTAAGCACCATATCATCATTAAACATAAAATACTGTAGTAATGCAGTATTATTCATATATTACTATGCATCCAATTAAACCCAAAAAAAACATACAATTTAACCTCAAACAAGTTCAATTCAATCTCACTAAACTCATACATTCAGAATTTCAGAATTCAGCAACAACCAGAAGAAAATAACAAAACTAAAGCAACCCATCAAAGCAGATGAAGGAAACTCACCCAACATCAGGTTTACTCCTGAAAAAACCTGTATCAGGTAAGGCACTAATATGAAAGAAAGGACCCAAGATGCTAGCAACCTCCATAGCACGACCATTCAAATACGAACCCGATGGCATCCACCATCTATGTGTAACTAAAGACTTAGCCCCAACTGGTAAACTAACTAAATACAACAAAGCCCTCAGGGGCTGCTGAAAATTCCCCAATGCTGATTCTTTCACCACTTTCTCCCTCAAATTATCATACAAACACTTAAAAATCGGGTCCAAACTATCGAAATCTCCCTCCCCAAAGAACTCATCCAAAAACCCAGGTGGGCAAGTTATCCCACCACTACTCCCAGACCCTCCATAGCTATCGATTATGGCCCCGCCACCAACATTCGAATAAATCAATGGCAACAACGGCGATTGCTTCTTCCTCATCAAATTAGCATGGTCACTAACAACAGTATCATCTATACCAGGAAACATATCAGGGTTACCTAAATGAATCCTACAATATGAAACTGCCAACTTTTTCGCTTGCTTAACAACTAACTCAATTTCAGACCTCAAATTTTTATCTTTCATGTTCATAATCTTCTTCTCTTCATCATAAGCACGTCTATAACAGCCAACTAAATACGAAAAAGGCGGTTCGGCATTCGGGAATTCATTGGAAAGCCGATCAATCAAAACCCTTTCCATTAAATCCCTAGATAAAAGCAATTCCTTACCTTCGCTAAGAATTTCAGCAGCTGTTAATTCAAGATAAACTACTCGAGAATCAGATTCCATTGAATCAATCAAAGATACAAGAAATATTTTCCGAAGAATTATATCTTCAATTTCTGCTGGCGATCTCTGGGGTTTCTGGGTAGCCATGATTATATGATTGAATCAAAATATTGAGTGATTAGTGCTGAATTATAGTAGTAGAAGATGAATTTCGATAAAAGCTAGGGATTTGATTGAGAAAAAGGAAGGAAATTAGGGAAAATTACGAGGGTTTTGACTGAATTTGATGATTGGTGAGTAAGAAAAATTGTTGTGAGTTGGAAAAATAAGGGATTTGGGAAAAATAAAATTGGTTGAAAAAAAAAAAAAAAAAAAAAGAACAACGATGCTTGCAGCGTAGGAAAACTCCAGCTTATAACAAGGTTGTTGAAGATTTATAAGGAGGTTTGGATAGTTTCTCAAATTTTACTACTCTTATCTAATACGAGTAAAACTTTCTTAAAAAATACAAATAAGTAATTTCCAATTTGAAAAGGAAAAGGAAAAGGAAAAGGAAAAATCTAATTTTTATCTAAAATAAAACTTTCTAAAAAATACAAATCTATAATTACCTAATTTTTATCTAAAACTAATTGTGATCGCTACAATAATAATAAACTAAGGTTTTGTTTCAATAAAATAAAATAAATAAACTAAGGTTTGTTTAAAAGAAAAAAAATAAATTAAGGTTAAATTAGAATGCTTTTAATCAAAATAGTTTTTACGGATTTAATCTGAAAACTTTGCAAGACCTTTTATATACACCTAGGTGAAAACTTCATCATACACGGATGTACCATGCGCATGGTACACCCAGTCAAAATACAAGGGTTATAAAAAACGCATAAAGAACCTTGTGTCACATATAAGTACATGAGCAAAAAAAAAAATCTTCCTTGATTTAAGGGGTCGATTTGTTATTATGGAAGAAAGAATATCTCCCACAGGGTTAAGGCACATTTTGACCAAATTAACTGGAGCAAATGCAACTCCATTCAATTCTCGATGGAAATGGAGTTTTTGCGAATTGTTCAGAGCTTGTATTCTTGTATACCGAAGCCCAATCATTAAGGGTAATTAAAAAAAAATGATAGTTGTGCCATTTAACCATTCGAGTTAGGCCACGACATAGAACAACTAACAATCATATGGAAGGGAAAGAATCCAATTGGATTGAAGGAAGACATCCGATTCGATGGGTCAGTCTTCTTGTCCTTCATCTTACAGTGAGGCTACACCTACTCTATTTAGTCCCAAGCCGGTGCTAGTGGTAGTAGGAGTTCTTGGTCAACTATCATTGGTGATGCAGAAGAGGATCGAGGGAAAAGATATACTCCTTAATTTATGGTTAGCTTTTTATTAATAACTTATTACATTTACTAATCATGCTCATGAAATTACTAATTTACATTGAATTTGATATAATATTTTAAAACTAAAACTTATTTATTTGATTTACATTATTATTAAATGTTAAATATTTCCTCCTAATTGATTGAAACATTTGAAAAACCAATACGCATCGCGTCCATAGATTAATAGTTGTAGTATAAGTCAAAAGGGTACTAATGTCTTTTAGTTGGACACCACAACCTCCACTTGGCTTATATAATAAAGACTTTTTAAAAAAATTAAGCAAATAATATTAAACGAGCAAAAATTATCCTATGGTGCACCTTGCCAACGGTGCAAAATTTTTGGACATTTGATAGGCGGTCATGCACCTAACAAAAATAATAAAAACCTAACTTATACTCCTAAATGTAATAGGGTAAGTTAGGGTCGATCCCACGTAGAATGTAGTATCAATATTAGGTCGTTGGGCTTGTTTGAGATCGTTTTTATTCTCCTTTTTTTTTTTGTTTTAAAACAAAAAACCAAAAACAAGGAAAAAAAAATGTTTTTACTGTTGTTAGTTTTCAAAATTATGATGATTTTAATATGTTTGACCAATTTTTGATTCATTATATGACATATATCATATGATTTTGATGAACAAAAAAAAACCATAATGATGCCAAAAACTAAAATTAAATAAACTAAATTGAAATTAGGTTTAATGAACTAAAATTATTTTTACATAATATTATCTTTTTAATGTAAAAACACTAATCCCACTAAAAAATATAAAATAAAAATGTAAAAGCACTATTCTAGCATGACTCAAGTTTTGTGTAAAAAAAAAAAAAAAAAAAAGAAAAAAAAAGCATGACTCAAATTTAAAAGCAGACCCGACCCAACTTGACTTTACTACAACGAATCCAAACACCCGAATTAAAATCTCTCAATTGAATAAGCCGGGCTTCGAACCCCAACTAGCGGCTACTCTCACTAGTCACTAGTCACTAGTCACTACTCACAATCTCTTTGTTTCCCATCTTCTGTTTCTCTCGTATGCTCGGCGAGTAGAGTAGTGCTTTGCCATGGCTATAGCTCGAGAATTGTACCCTTCCGAAGACGACCTTCCTTACGAAGAAGAAATCCTGCGCAACCCCTTCAGCCTCCGTCTATGGTGGCGCTACCTCGTCGCAAGAACCTCTTCTCCTTTCAAGAAACGCGCAGTCATCTACGAACGAGCTCTCAAAGCTTTACCTGGAAGCTACAAACTCTGGTATGCTTATCTTCGTGAACGCCTTGAACTTGTTCGTAATCTTCCTATTACACATTCTCAGTATGAAACCCTAGATAATACTTTTGAACGTGCTTTGGTTACTATGCATAAGATGCCCAGAATTTGGATTATGTATTTACAAACCCTAATTGTTCAGAAATTGGTTACTCGTACTCGTCGTACTTTCGATCGGGCTCTTTGTGCTTTGCCTGTTACTCAGCATGATCGAATTTGGGAACCCTATTTGATTTTTGTTAGTCAGAAGGGGATTCCGATCGAGACTTCGCTTAGGGTTTATAGGAGGTATTTGAAGTATGACCCATCTCATATTGAGGAATTTATTGAGTTTTTGGTGAATTCGGAGCGCTGGCAGGAGGCTTCCGAGAGGTTGGCTGGGGTTTTGAATGATGATCAATTCTTTTCGATTAAGGGGAAGACGAAGCATCGGCTTTGGCTTGAGTTGTGTGAATTGTTGACTAAGCATGCTACCGAGGTTTCTGGGTTGAATGTGGATGCGATAATTAGGGGTGGGATTAGGAAATTTACGGATGAGGTGGGGCGGTTGTGGACTTCGTTGGCGGATTATTATATCAGGAGGAAGTTGCCGGAGAAGGCTAGGGATGTGTTTGAGGAGGGTATGATGACGGTGGTGACTGTCAGGGATTTTAGTGTGATTTTCGATGCTTATTCACAGTTTGAGGAGAGTATGCTGGCATATAAAATGGAGAGTTTGGATTTGAGTGATGAAGAGGGAGAGGATGGTGGTGGGGATGAGGAAGAGGAGGAGGTTGATATTAGGGGGGATGTTGAACTCTCTATGGGAAAGTTTGAGAAGAAGATCTTAAAGGGTTTTTGGCTGCACGATGATAATGATGTGGATTTGCGGCTCGCTAGGTTGGAGCATTTGATGGATAGACGTCCTGAGCTAGCTAATAGTGTTCTTCTTCGTCAAAACCCACATAATGTGGAGCAATGGCATCGAAGAGTGAAGCTCTTTGAGGGTAACCCAACTAGGCAGATATTGACCTATACTGAGGCGGTCAGGACTGTGGATCCTATGAAGGCAGTAGGAAAGCCTCACACTTTGTGGGTAGCTTTTGCTAAGCTGTATGAAAGCCACAAAGATCTTGCTAATGCTAGGGTTATATTTGACAAAGCAGTACAAGTGAATTATAAAGCAGTGGATCATCTTGCTAGTATATGGTGTGAATGGGCCGAGATGGAGTTAAGGCACAAAAACTTTAAAGGAGCACTGGACCTGATGCGGCGTGCAACAGCAGTGCCCTCTGTCGAAGTTAAGCGTCGAGGTAGTTATTTTATTCCCTATAATTGGTACTTTATTTTGCCTGTCTTGCCATTGCAACTTGTAGCAGGTTTCCATTCTAATTTAATTACATAGTATTTTCTTTTGAGATTCCAGCTACCTCTATGAAGCTCGAGTTTCTTACCACGGTACATGTGTATGAATATGATCTATAAACTTATGTACCTCACTGTACTTGACTTTTGCAGCTTTTCTTGTCATAAAAGGAATGTATGACATTCTGATGTAGTGTATCAGTGAAATTATCACTAAGATGCTATCTACCCTTTGCTGCTCTGAAGTCTTAACCAGATAGAAATGTATTTGGTTTAGAAAGGCTGTAATTGAAATTTGGCTGAATATCTTCGCACTTGTGATTTTTGCTATATCTTTGGGCATCAGAGTGGTGTTACACTTGGTATGAATAAATTATAGTTTGATTTCTCTCTCTCTCCCACTCTTGTTCGGGTGGGGGGTGGGGAAGAGGGTGGGTTGGGCTATGTTCATGGAGATTGTGCTGAATGCTGATGCTGAATTGCTATTTTATTAGACTAACCAGACACTTAATTAGGTGCAGTATTTTGATGTTTGTTTTCTGCTTGTCCAAGGGGACTATGAGCTAACTTTTTGTTCCTCTTATTCAGTTGCTGCGGATGGTTATGAGCCTGTGCAGATGAAGCTGCACAAATCTTTAAAATTGTGGACATTCTATGTAGATTTGGAGGAAAGCCTTGGTACTTTGGAGTCCACCCGTGCTGTGTATGAGAGCATATTGGATATAAGAATTGCTACTCCCCAAATTATTATAAACTATGCAATGCTTCTGGAGGTATGACATTCTGTAAATAATTTGAAGACACCATGTGTTTTTGTTATTATTGTTGTTGTGTTCTGATTTTTTACTTTATTTTTTGGTGGCTACAGGAGCATAAATATTTTGAAGATGCATTTAGGGTGTATGAAAGAGGTGTGAAGATCTTCAAATATCCTCATGTGAAAGAGATATGGGTTACATATTTATCCAAGTTTGTTAAGAGATATGGGAAGACTAAGTTGGAACGAGCCAGAGAGCTCTTTGAGAATGCTGTTGAAACGGTATGCCCATGTTATTAGTTCAGCACACCAATTAATATCTGTTATGGAACAGTATTGCCTGATAGCCTATATTCGATTCCTCATTTTTTAAATACAGGATTTTGTTTTGAAATAGCCTATTATGAACGCCCAGTACTAATGTATATAATTCCCTCAAAAAAAAAAAAAAGTATTAATGTATATAATCTCTTGAAGTGTTTCAAATAGCCTTTGTCTAAAAGTGTTTTCAGGGTATGCTTTCATGAGATTCTGTTCCTTGGAAATCTCAATTCCATGGATCTCATTCATTCTGTGTGTGCCTCTAGCTCGAAACATGTGATGTGATGTGTGGCTTCTCAGGAAATGAAATAGATCCTAACCTTTTTTTTTTCCAGC